CAAATCCTGAAAAGTTCTTTACTTCAGCTGGCATTCCTGCTCCATCCATTGTCTCTAAGGGTCTGCATGCACTTCCAGGAAGGGTTTTGGTTCCTTCTGTCGTCGATCAACTTCAAGGTCAGGCATTAGCAGCGTTGCAAATTTTAAAGGTACTTTATCAGATTGCTCTAGCCTTTAATTCTGTTTTTGCTAGATCAGCTGTGTAGTTCACATAACTAGTTGCTTCACCTATTTTTATTGGATAATTATCTTTCAATGTGAATATTTAAGCTTTATTTAAGTTACTGAAAAAGATTAGAAGAATTTAATTGAACCGAATTCCTTTAGTATATATAGTACAGTGATTTCTGAACTGTATATTTTATTAAACATGGATTTACTGAGATTTTCGTTTATTTGCTGGATACGAAAATTAATGTTGTTCTTAAACTATTTTTATGTGGAAAGTGATTTACATGGCAGTGCAATAGGAGGGTGTTAAGAGTGCTCTTTTGAAGAACTCATGGAAAAGTATCTTTATGTATATATTAGATGAATTAATTATTAATTAAATAGGTATGAGAACTTTTTTAAAAATTGGACTAGATGCCATGCAACTTCATCAAAACTTCGTATTGTGATTAAAAACCAATCACGCCCGTTAAGAGGGCTTACCTCTTCCTCAGCAATCACTTCATGCATTTTCTACCAGCAGTTTTTGACCTGTTGTAGGTATTTTAAATTAAACCAGAAGTGTTCCAAAGGCCAAAAGATTCATTTGAATTCTAGATTACACAGGTACATATGCACACTTAATTCTCGTGCGAGTGCAGAGCCCTTATGTAATCGGCTTCACTAATAACTTTTACTTTCTTGAAATTAATATGATAAAAAGTAACTCATTCAAGTGGGCAATATAAGATGGCACTGGCATTCCTTAGCTTTCGATAGTGTAGAAATTCAGCTGTAAATTCTGAAGAACAAGTGTGAAGGTTTCCAACCTCAGTTTCAATTTATTGCACGCTTTTAGGTTATTGATGCTCATGCTCAACCAGGAGATCTATGTACTCGCCGGGAATATGCTCGTTGGTTGGTTTTAGCAAGCAATGCTCTTTCAAGGTACTAATTTCTCTTGTTTTATAATAAACGGTGAAAGATATTGATTTGTAGTGTTTGAAATGATTAAGATCAAATGGCTGTATATTGCTATTACAGTATCTCTGAATTATTTTAGGAACACTTCTTCAAAAGTTTATCCAGCTATGTACATTGAGAACATCTCGGAACTTGCATTTGATGACATTACACCTGAAGACCCTGACTTCCCTTCCATTCAAGGTAGGGGCTTGAATATAGAGTGTAATTTGATTGACTTTCCTTTGTTGTGTTCTGGACTCTGAATCAATGGGATGTTTTCAGGCCTGGCGGAAGCTGGACTTATTGCCAGCAAACTTTCGAGACGTGATATGCAGTCATCTTTAGATGAAGACGCAAGTCCTCTATGCTTCTCTCCTGACAGGTAGGTGATATGATTGCTCACTGATATATGTCATTTTTCTCCTACATGATTGGCTTGTATAGTTAATTGAATTGAGCATAGCAGAAGAAAAAGAAAATGGATGCCTTTCTAGGACCTGCATATAGTATATAGAATAGCAATTTTCTTGCTACCTTTCTTGAGTCTATTTAAATTCTCTCTTTTATTGAACCTTTTTCTTCATTCTTTATTCTGTGGTTTCATGTGCTTTTTAGCTATAAAATCATCTGGAGCCTTTGTCTGATCAACATATTTTACTTTATGGTAACTCTTCAGTCATTTCCCTGTCTTGTGTCTTTCCTACTCGAACTGTTCTTGCACACCCGAGTTTGTGTTGCTTATGAATATAGCATATTGTGGGCTTATGGCATTTTCTGCTTCCAACTCTTGAACTATTTCTCAAACTGTTGTGTTGCAGCCCGTTGTGTCGTCAGGATCTCGTGAGTTGGAAGATGGCCCTAGAGAAAAGGCAGCTACCAGTAGTTGATAGAAAGGTTATGCAAATTCGATAATGTATGCTTTTATTTACTTATTGTGGATAGCATAGCATTGAGATCATATTCTAATCAACCTGCCCTTTTCTGCAACCAGACCTTGCAGCAGCTATCTGGTTTCATAGATATTGACAAGATCCATCCAGATGCATGGCCTGCTCTTGTAGCTGATTTAGCTGCTGGAGAACAAGGGATTATAACCCTAGCACTTGGTGAGTTTCATCCATGTCATCATTTTCGTCTAACTTACTTTCTTATATGGAGTTAAGCCATCCTATTACTACGATAGGATATACAAGACTATTCCAGCCAGAAAAACCTGTAACAAAAGCACAAGCTGCTATTGCCCTTGCAACTGGTGATGCTTCTGCCATTGTTAGCGAGGAACTTGCACGTATTGAGGCTGAAACTATGGCAGAAAAGGCTGTAGCTGCTCATAGTACTCTAGTTGCTCAAGTTGAAAAGGATCTCAATGCTAGTTATGAGCAGGAGCTTTTTCTGGAAAGGGAAAAGATTAATGCTGTTGAGAAATTGGCAGAGGAGGCAAGAAGAGAGTTGGAGAGGATGAGGGCTGAACGGGAAAATGAAAGTTTTACCTTAATGAAGGAACAAGCTGCTGTGGACTCAGAAATGGAAGTTCTTTCTAAGTTAAGGCGTGAACTGGAGGAACAATTGCAAACCCTTATGAGTAATAAGTTCGAGATTTCCTATGAAAAAGAAAGGCTTAACCAGCTTCGGAGGGATGCAGAAACTGAGAATCAAGAGATTTCCCGGTTACAGTATGAGCTGGAAGTTGAGCGAAAAGCCTTATCCATGGCTAGGTGAGAAACCTCTCTTTCATCTTTACATTTGAATAGAGGCTTCTCGAGTGGTTAAAAATTATATATATAATGATAAAGGGATTGCATGTGTTTATATCATAAAACTTTGAAGATAATATTCCCTCTAATTTGCATTCTAATTAGATTTGTGTGTCATTGTCTAAGCAGTATAACTTGGTCATAGGTGTGGCCTGCAATTCCTTTTCCTTTTGGCCAATGTCTGTCTACATGGCCACTTTTAACGGGTTATTTTTTTATGAAAATTTTTCACGGATATGTTGTGAGACACATTTCCTGGATTATCAAGGCAAAAATATATAGCACAAAGTAACCATCAAAATAAGCTCCTTCATTCGAGTATATCAAAAGATTTCTTTATAGATTGTTTCTTGCAATGTCAAGATTGTTATATCTCTATAGTTTCTTTCCTGCTGATTTTTACCTTTATGTTCTCTTCTGGAGAGTTTTTTCACCTCATGGCAAAATTATTATCAGGTAAATTTACCAGGGAGACATCCTCTGGAGAGTTTTTTTTTCCCCTCGTGGCAAAATAAGTAACAGATAAATTTACCAGGAAGACATCCTATTCTTTCTACCATTAACTTAACCTTCTAAATGCTTTAGCCGGTATCATCCCTGTGACAGAATAGGGTCAAAATTGATCATTGAACTACTAACATAGCCATTGGTGGTTTGTCTCTGTTATACTGATGGATGGGCAACACCATGGGACTGAACATGTCAAAAGATCTGCTCTTGTGCGTAGTACAGAATTTTGGAAAAAGTGTCTATGGTGTCTAGGGAGTTTAACATTTGGGGGTTGGGGGGTGGGGGTGTGGTGGACATTTTAACTACCCTCCACAGTTTTTGCTTTTGGTTACTAAGAGTTGAATGTTGATCTCTCTGAGAAATGTAGGAAGGTTTCGATAAGAAAGACGAGGTGATTGCAATTTTGATTTTAATCTCTCTCTGAGACATCTCAAAAGAGAGGGAAGCAGAAAAACAATATGTTTCATGAAGTAGAAGAAGAATATAAAAATAATACTTGAAACGATGATTCTATTGTTTTCTTATTATTTTTAAATTATTTAACTCACGTTCATATTTTATTTTACCCAGATCTTGGGCTGAAGACGAGGCGAAAAGAGCAAGAGAGCAATTAAAAGTCCTGGAGGAGGCCAGAGAGCGTTGGGAGGAGCAGGGCCTTAAAATTGTGGTTGACAATGATCTGCGCAAAGAAGAAGATGCTGCAGTTACATGGCTTGCTACTGGAAAGCAGCTCTCAGTTGAAGGAACTGTTGGAAGGTCTGAGAATTTGGTGGACAAGCTTAGGGCGATGGCAGACAAAGTGAGGGGTAAATCAAAAGATACTATTAGTAAAATCATTGAGAAAATACTTCTCTTGATATCAATGTTGAAGGAGAAGTTCTTAAACATAGGCAGAGGGGCAGGCGATATAAAAGATGCTGCTAAATCAAAATTGGAAAGTTCTTTACAAGAGGTAAGGCAAAACTCTGTCAAATTTACTTCAGCTGTTAAGGAAGGCACAAAGCGAGCAGCTGGAAACTGGAAAGAAGGGGTCGAGAGAATATCCCAGAAGTTCAAGACATGATTTCATGTTGTAATTTTTCAATTGCGTCCTTTTTTTATATAGACTGTAATGGCCATGGAAAAGCTGCTTTACTGCTTGTTGGGCTTCTGTTCACCAAAATAGAGAAGAATGCAGTATAAGAAACTGATAGCATCAATGAATGTTGTCGCATGTTATCGTTAAATAATTGTAAAGGAAATTGTAGAATTGTAATATTTCCTTCGTACTGTGGTGGTCGATTATTGATATGGATAATTAAACCCCGCATTTGGGTCAAGTAGTTTTAATTATGAGTCAACTTGATACTGCTTTGTCAGGAAAATTTGAAGGAGAAATGATCATCTTGCTTTCTATTTTAGCAATGACACCATAAAAAAGTGACCTAATAGCCTCTTTCCTTGGCAGCATGTTTGGCTAAGCTTAAAAGTAAGCGGGAAGCATATTTTTGTTTCTAATCATTACTTGAATAAGCAAATTACGTAACGACTAACAAAAGTGAATAAAATTTGCAGTAGCTAGATATTTGAACAGGATCAGATCCTTTGTAAATTCAAATCTAAATGGCCTGGAAATACTCGTTCCCGTTAACTAAATTTCCTTCGATCTTGAAAGTGTTCATAAGTTTATGCAGAACAAGAACAGTTATCAGAAGAACAAAATACTCTCGGTCATCAGATAGGTTACATAATAAAATTTAAAAGTAACTCCAACATGATAAAAAAAGGTCCTTAATTTAATAATGTCTAAATACCAACAAAACATACTTAAAGCTTAATGAAAATGCATAAACTAATACACTTCTAATCAAATACTCTGATTCAAGATCTACTTCCAAAACTGAAAGCCTAAGATAAAAGCTTCACTTTTTCTTTTCACCACCTCCAGCAGCCCTGCATAAATTTCCAAAATAATATAAGCAAAAAAGGATTAAGGAATCAATTATATAAAGACCATGGCAAATTCCTGGTATTATGAAACTTGGAAAGAACAATAATATCACTTGGGAAAATTACCTCATCTTGCGGAGAACACTAGACATTTCCTCTCTCTTCTTCTTTGCCCTCTTGTGAGTGCCTAACTTTCTTTTAGCAACCTTCAAAGCACGTTTATCCTTTCCAACTTTCAAAAGCTCAGTGATCCTCTTCTCATATGGTGCAAATCCAGCAACTTCCCTAATAAGGCTCCTCACAAAATGTACTCTCTTGCTTGTTTTCTGAATTAATCCCAAATTGTTTACAGCAAGGGTCAGAATTTTTGCGTCTAACTTAGCTAGAAAAAGAATTTATGAATTGTGAATTGTAGATATTAGCTTATGCTTTATTAACCTAAAAAACTAATCTACTTAACAAAAGTCTGAATTTCTCGAACAGGCTTGTTAAATGGTTATTAAGATATCTGTACAGCACATAATAATAGACAAAACAACCATGATTCAAGGAACAATCTTCCAGCTTAAAATTAAATATGCATACAACCTATCATTTCATCATTCTTGCTGAAGTATATGGTAAATTGGAAGAAAAAGTCTTAACATAAAAAATTGTAATATATCATCAAAAGCTTGATCTGCTAGAACAAGTGCAATCATTCAAAACCATTATGAGTTTCCTTAGGCAGAAATACTCTTAACAAATTAGTAAGAAACTAGACAAAGGGCATAGAAGAACTCACTCCTTTTCTAGCAGACGGGCGGGGTGCCAATTCCTTTGGGGTCACTACATGGCCTTTGTTCAAACCCACAAATAGACCAGTGTTCGGCTGCTTTGGAGCCATTACCTATATTAGAACATTAAAGCACAGTCCCAGATAGTTATTTCTCTTGCATGTTTATCACACAAATCTGAAAACATTAACGCTATTATCTTAATATAATTTCGATCAAAGCGACAGAAATCGTTCCAAGTATACTCGATATAACTTTACAAACAGAAATGCTATTATTGAGCATCAATGAATCCGTAGAATTTTTTTCTTTTTTATTTTAAATAATTTTCAACATATTTACACAGATATACAAATTGTTCACTGATTCAGCACACTCAAAAATGTCGAAACTAAACACTGTTGTATACATTCGTACACATTTACAGAAAGCTAGGCATACACAATTGTAAACGTAACCAAGCTAACAGATGGGAGATTACCTTTCCTTTGATCTCTCTGGTCTGTGGAGGCCACCGTTAAAAGAACTAGGGTTTAACCCCCAATATTTATACTATAATAATGGTGTCGTGAGATACGACGGAGTTTCTATACCTAGTTCATCTGGCTGATTATTATAGCCCATTGGGCCATGTTGAACATGGATCCGTTCTTGCAATTCAGTCTACTCAAAGGTTGAATGAACATATTTAAAAAAAGGAAAAATTCACAAACCAGATTTTAACTATGAAGAATTCACAAATCAGGTTTTTATCTAATTAATTAAAAAATATTTATAAATTAAATATAATAAAGTCACAATTATACAATTAATGATCACATGTATGTACATAATTATATGTCACAACTTATTTATTGGTCACACATTATCGAATTAATTCGTCATAACTTATTTCGAGGTCACAAATAAAAACTTTCATAGATCACAATTTATTTCATTGGTCACAGATCAAAAAATTATAGTCACAATTTATCTATCAATCACATATTTTTAAATTCATTGGTCACAAATTATCAAATTTTAATGTTACAATTAAATAATTGGTCATGAGTAACCGAATAATTGGTTATAGGTCAAATAGTCGATCACACACCACCAACAATTCCACTGTTACCACCGCCACTTGTAACCATCCTCACCTTGCCACCAACACCATGATATCGCCACCAAAAATCTCCACGACCGCCACCATCAAATACAACAACAATTCCCAACCCACAACCTCGCCACAATCTCCACTGCCACTAGAAATCACTACAACCAACAAGACTAGAACCACCACCAAACACGTCCAATAATATACCACCTCCCAACCTCACCAACACCACCCAAATCATTATTGCCAACATGAGCATTGCCGCTCATCGCCACCAAAAATCTCCACGACCGCCACCATCAAATACAACAACAATTCCCAACCCACAACCTCGCCACAATCTCCACTGCCACTAGAAATCACTACAACCAACAAGACTAGAACCACCACCAAACACGTCCAATAATATACCACCTCCCAACCTCACCAACACCACCCAAATCATTATTGCCAACATGAGCATTGCCGCTCCCATCACCACCACGACCGTCCTACCAGATCCCCTGCACGACCATCGCCACACCATCACCTTACAACATCACCAACACCTAGGGTTGTAAATGGATCGGATCTGCCCAAATTCGATCCGATCCATTAAGAAAATTATCTTATCCGATCTGATCCATAATCTAACATATATTTGATTATTAAATCTATATTTGATCTGTCGTGTTGTCGGATATCTGATTCGATAACCCGATCCGAAATTGAAAAAATTAGAAAAATAAAAAATTTAGTCAACTTCTTATTGCCTAGATAGCTTTTTTACCCAATTCTTTGCCTACGTAATTATAGATTGTAAATTTTATGATATTCTAGTAAATATTCGATGTGGGGAGTAATAAGTTGAAAATAATAAAAGCAATTCTAATGTCGACTCCTTTGGTTGTTTAATTTATAAAATAAATTAAATATTATTTTTATATTATCTTAATTAATAAAAAATTAAATCTCTTCGTATATTTCAATTAGCAACATTATACTATTATCTAATATTATTAGTTATTTGAAAATTATGTTTAAGTATAATACAAGTTTCAAAATAAAAATAAAAATAAAAATAAATTTATGTGTAATAAATTATGAAATAATATATAAAATATATTATATTATTATAATAAATCAGATCAGATTGACCTATATCCATATTTGTTTTATTTAGTTAATGAATTATCGAATTTGAATCTTAATCGGGTTATCGGACTGATGTCCTAAATCCATCTGCCGTTAATTTCATCGAATTCGGATTGAATTCGAATTAAAGTTCAATCCATTGATAGCCCTATCAACACCACCCACATCCACGCTGCACGGAGGAAACTATTACAGCGTCGCCATCACATCACCATCATCGACCGCCACCGCCACCATTAACACCCCACCAACACTTTCAACCAAAATCGTCGCCAGATCGAAAAACCCAAAAAATTCCCTAGAAAGTGCAGATCGAAACTGTAACTTCATGCTGCTACGAATGTCGCCTCCCCCATGTAGGTACCAGAGCATCTCCTTGGCATCGGTTGCAGTTTTTGAATGGATAGCCACGTTGAAAAGAGAGACGGTAGAGACGGGCACAAACCATCATCTGCAAATCGGAAAGAGAAAGATAAATGCAACATCGAAACGTTGCATTCACAGCAGCATCACCTCCACACGCTGACGAATTTCCTTCATCATCATTGCAGTGTTTGAATGGGTCGTCGGCGTCGAGAATAGAGAAGCCAGCGTCGAGAAGAGAGAATGAAGAGATGAGATTGAAAATGGGTAAAATGATTAGGATTTTTAATTGAATTGGGTGGATTAATTATATATAATACCTGATTTGTGAATAATAAAATTTTATACTTGATTTTTTGTAATTTTTAAATAATTGGTATTATGTAATTTTCACTTTAAAAATATATAAAAATTAACTAATTTATGTTATTTCAATAAATTTTGAGGGAAAATTAGGATAATTGAGTTTTACAATAACACTACGCTATTTTTTGGAGGAAAATGTATTTTGAAATAGTGATTTTTAGAAGAACGTGTAATTAAAAAAAAATTAAATTGAGTTTAGGTGAACTATTTTATGGAAGAATGTGTGGATAAAAACTAGTTTTGAAAAAAATGAGTTTTTAAAGAAATAAAAATGAGTTTTTGAAGAATAGAACCCAAACACGGGTTAAATAACTTAGCGACACAATTCAAAATTTAGTCCATGTATGGTGGAGGCTAAAATAAGATGTTGATAAAAGTTAATGAAACATGTGATTAAAAAAGTTGTGAGTTTCATTAAATATATAATTAAAATTAGTTGTTAACTGTAATTTTGATAAAAATTTAGATTATAATTTCTATCAAACTGGAGTTTACATAGATGTGCTTCATATTCGGTTGGAGTTCGCTCCTAGAAATATAGCCATTAGGGGTGGACATGATTCCATTTGGCTATGGTTTTTAGAGAATTGAATCGAACCATAAACCAATTGTTTTGTTAGTAATATAACTTAAATAAAAAATATAAATATCAAACATTTAGTAAGTTTAAATTATCAATTATCAATACTTCAAAAGTTCAAACTGACAAACAAAATATAAACGAATGCTTCTTTACCAAAAAGTTAATAACATCAAGTTTCATGATAGAAACTTAGCACTTACTATCCAGAAAATCATTAAACGTTTAATACTTCATTGCTTCGCTTGAGGGATATGAAGGGCAAAGTTTGGGACTCTTTAAGGGTTTGAATTTGGAGTAATACCATTTATGGATTGTACAAAAATAATAACTATTGGACCAGCTTCAATTAATACAAGATTAAATTCATATAAAAATAAAATTATAAAATAAGTTTGGTTCTCGATTCTAGAACACCAAAACCAAATGGTTCTCGATATTAAGAACCAAAACCATTCTATTTTTTTTTTATTTTTTTTTTGTGGAACTGAACCGAACTGCTTAGTTTAGTTTGGTTTGATTTAGTTCTGGTTTGACTTGGTTTGATCTCGACATTTTGTCCACCCCTAATAGCCATCCCTACCCCTCAAGTACATTACATGATTACACACAATCTTTTGATACAAAAATTTGTATTTTAATTATTTCATGGCATGAGTAAATTTTTGAACATTTTATTCTAAAAATAGAAGTGAATCCCTCAAAATTTTTAGATAATAATAAGTAATATCAATCTTTGAGTTTAACTGAATTTGTTATTTTGTCCACCCCTAATAGCCATCCCTACCCCTCAAGTACATTACATGATTACACACAATCTTTTGATACAAAAATTTGTATTTAAATTATTTCATGGCATGAGTAAATTTTTGAACATTTTATTCTAAAAATAGAAGTGAATCCCTCAAAATTTTTAGATAATAATAAGTAATATCAATCTTTGAGTTTAACTGAATTTGTTTACAATTTATAAACTTATATCCACCTATAAATATCCTTACTTTAACATCGTTGAACTCCCAAAAAAAAACCGACAGCGCTATACTCCGAACCACAAATAACAAAAGATTAAGCCCTTGTTTGAGTTATATTATTGGAATGAAAATACATTTTTGAATAGTATATTGATAAGAAATGTGTAATTAAAAAATAAGGAAATGTCTTGAATTTGCGTGTAATATTATTTTATTAAAGAATGTGTGATTAAAATGATGTCAAATCACTGTTGAAAAATGTATTTTTTTCAAAGAACGTGGCTCAAACAAGGCCTGAAACTGGAAACCAAAACGGAAGCAAAAGATCATAATGACCCATAGTGCACACTCAAATGCCCAAGAAAATTAACCAAGAACATGAATAAAAGTGAAAAAAATAGTTATTGCAAATTTCTCAAAACCAACAGTGTCATAGAGCAGAAATGCCCGACTTGTCCAATTGAAAATGGAAGGCTACAAAAAAAGAGTAAACATCAATGTTGAGCTATATAGAAGGCATTTTCTAGAGAGCGAGAAGATTTTAAAGCTCGACTCTTCATGAGAGCCTGCACAACATCCTGATAATCTTTAAGCAGTTGTCTCCCCTTTATCTAGGCACAACACTTCGTATTACAGATGTAGATTACCTGAAATGGGAATTGAGCACTTACACACATAAATCGTCACAGTCCAATATAGTTAGATAGACACAATCAACTATTGAAGAAGAACGACAACCAGAGTATACATATGAATCTAAAATTCCTGCTAAACTAATAAACGTCATTTAAATCCACTGGACCTACAGAAAATGTGTTGCTACCCTCACTGAGCATTTTCCTGTTTTTGTTCAGATTAATAGATTATCATAAACCTTTTAGAATGTGGACCTCTATTAAGAATTCCCAAGGAATACAAGCATCTAAAAGATATATGATACTGTGTCCAATTCTAAATTTCATTTATACGCATTACAGCAACAAAGAGAAATAAATGCAATAGCTAAAATGATGATAGGCAAAGCAGTTTCAAGTATGTGAAGAGTTTATTTCTTTATGTCACTAATGTATAAATTGAGGATTCCTCCAATCTTTCATAACATATGGTCTAATATCTTGATATTAAGTTGTGAAGCCTAATTATTGTCGTCATGTGGCCTTAAATAGGAAGCCTTTGTCGGGGTTTAAATATCATCATCAAAGGAGAGATAGATCTTAGAAAATTGGGCGTTCGATTTGTTCTCTTGTAAACTTCTTTTCATTAAAGTGAGTTACTGCAGCGATGGAAGAAGATATATTCTCACACTCAAGCGACCATCTATAAATCTTGTGCGTTTGTTTTTTTTCTTTTTCTTTACCGAGATCATTGTTCTTTGTGGTATCGAATTAGAATTTCTAATTTTCAGTACCATGTAGTTCAGGACATCAAATTTTCAAAAAATGTGGGAGGGAGGCAAATCAAGAGATTCACGAGGAAGATACTCATCCTAAACATCAAGTACGGATACAGATCTCTCTTCCATAGCTCCAAAAACTCTCACTTGCTCAAGAATTTTCTCTCGCTGGCCGGTTCTACTTAAGAAGCATCAGATATTTTCCTAGTCTTCACATAAAAAGACATTGAATAACTTACTCTCTTCTCACTTTCGAGTAAAAACAATTACGTATTTCCAGCTTTAACCTACTCTCAAAACTTATTACTTATAAGCGAACCTTAAACTTTAGCAAACATGGTCTAGCCTTTGTAGAGATAGAAAGGTTCTGGATTTCTAACACGATTCAGATTCAACCCATACTGAGGATTCCAATTTAAAATTCTGCAGCTATAACAACCATAAATACAAATTCTGCGAAACAAAATTGTAAAAAGTGTAGCTGAAACTTACAATTAAACAGCAGCGTTTAACTATTTGCGGGAATCCGAAGATGTCTTCGCACTTTTTATGGAACATGAAGATCTGAAAGCTTCAATCTGCGATTGGCATTTGAAATAATCCCCTTTGTTTTCCTCCAAACATTTCTTCAGAGCCTCCACGTCACATGGTGACATTATCTTCTTTGTACTGCTCCTGTAGTTATCCACCATTCCTTCCATTTTCTTCAAATCCAATACTCGGATTACAGCGAGTAAAGGTCGATTATCTGAAACGACAATTTCTTGCTCATCCAACAAGTCAGCTTACCAAATTACATCAAACTAGGGTTTATAATTACATAAACAATTGATTGAAGAAATTAGCTAAATAGATTGCAAAGAATATATTAGAATAGAAAATTACCAGAATCTAGTGTATTTGTCGCCTATAGATGCTAATTGAAAGAACCGTAGAGAATGAAGGAGAAAGAAAAATAGAGGAACTTCCTTCTATTTAATACTGAGGCTAACTTGCTATTCATACAAGAATTTGAGGACCCGTTGTGTAATTTCTTCGAGTCAGTATACTCTGACAGTGAGCGTATGGTCACTCTGGTGTGCGCTGAAAAGGGCAAGACTGCGACGAACTGACGAAAATACCCTCGTTTTTAAATTTAAGAGCGTCGGAGCGAAAGAGAGTGCTCAGACCAGAGTTTGAATAAAACCTCAACGGCTATATTCATTCACATTCATCTCTGCTTCTTGTTTCCATGTTCCATCCATGTTATTGTTCCTACTTCCTACTGCTGGTTCTGTTTGTGGATTGCTTTGAGAGTCGGAGGTGCACAAGTAATCCTATTATTCATCTCTCCAGCGTTAAGAAATTGTGAAATTTTTCCATGGATTCAGTAACGACAGACCCAAACCGTGTTAAAGTTGGCAAGGGGTCAAGTGCATCAAAGAAAGTCAGAATTATTGGGAAAATCAGGTTTTTCACAGATCAAGAATCTCAATCTCTGACCCAAGAATCGAAAAAATGGATCACGGTTAAGTGTTAAGAAATCTCAAGAAGAAGATTCATTTTGTAAAGTTACGGTTTCTTATGAATCTCAATTAACCTGGTAACTTCATTTTCCTTTTTTTTTTTTTTGTTTACTTTGCAGAAAATTTTGCATTTATGTAATTGTAAAACGACCGAGTGCGTATTCGAATACATGTATTTTTTTTTCTTCTATAGATTTTACTCTACAGCTTGTTTATTTTTCATGTTTGTATTTTAATTTAATTAATTATTTTTTACATTTGTGCTGAATTTATTTTGTTAGCGTTAATGTCTTGCGTATTGTATGGTAGTTAGAATTCGATTCGCTTGATTTTTTGAGATTATGCGTTATTTTATTATCTCTTGTTCAATATCCTAATATTTGAATTTTTGTAGGATGGAGTATCATTTAGATAGGGAGTTAAGACAGATGGCAGGGAAAGCTACTTGGAACAGTAGCTTTGAGAGTTTTACTGCTGTGTTGGAGCTGCTCGATGATCAGTACGGAGATATGTTACGACAGTCCTTCTTGTGGCCACTGTACCAGTTGCAAGAGGTACAATACTCAGGACAGATCATCGATGCACTTCTATGTCGGCTTCTGAGGCCAGTCGACGGCGATTCCCTCCACTTCGACCTCAGGGGCAAGGTCGTCAGTTTCTCAATAATTGAGTTTACCTTAATTATTGGACTGAGGATTACGGGCGACGATACAGCCATTAAGAGAAAACATTAAGCTGTATGAGATGTACTTCCAGGGACATGGGTCGGTGCTTCTACCCGAGTTGATAATCGCGATCAGGGGGTGCGACCAGATGCTAAATAGATTGAAGTTTGGGCTGGTCTACATCCTCGAGGGTGTGATGAGGTGTCTTCACAAGAAGACTGCCATCGACATTTTTCATTTGCAAGTTGTTGACGACATCAATGCGTTCAACCACTATCCATGGGGTCGGAGATGCTATGAAGACACCGTACATGTCTTCACCAGATCATATTGAGGCCCAATGGGTCAACGCGTAAATACGATACATATGGATTGCCCTTAGCGGTGCAGGTAAATACTATACATCATCGCGAGCGGATGGATATCCCACTGGGAAACAGTTATCGACCTTCTTCGACGATCCTCAGATAAGTATAAGCATTTGTGATTTATATTAGACGTAGTTTAAAATCTGTGTACATAATCGTTAATTAGTTGAAATGTCAATATGTGAGCTTGAAATCATACCTGAGTTGACGTCGTCAATGGAAGAGGAGGCTCAGAGTCTTGTGCGGGATTTAGGTGTTCCGTACACCCAAGACGAGGAGATATCGAAGATATTTGATCCGAGCCTGGACAGAGATTGGGTATGTGAATTAAATACAATTTATTGAATATCGTTTTGTATAAATTTATTGAATGATTTTTAATGTTTTTATTTGTGCAGGAGGGCGGTTCAGCTGATCGACGATCACCTCCACTGAGGGTATTTCCGTCGCCATTGGTATCACCTCTATCGTGAGCATCGTCGCGGTCATTGGCATCACCTTCGTCGAGGGCATCGTCGTCGCCATTGGTATCGCCACCGCCAAGGGTATCTCCTTCTCCCTCGTCCAGACACCTCCCTCGTGTATCTCTTACATACAGTGATGATTTGTATGCCCGTGTGACTGGATTTATAGCAGAGGAAGTTGGCGCACTACAACGAGAGTTGATGGAAAATGTCAATGATCTGGGATGAGAGTTGATAGGGAGGGTCGACGATATGAGACGAGAGTTGACAAGGAGGATTGACAATCTATCCCATGATGTTGGAATGCTACGGTCTTACGTTGTCGACCTTCAGGATACAGTAGCGGCACTTATTGGAAATTTAGTTGGTAGGCGATGGGGGACATGGCGGAGATGATGATCGAGAGGGTGGCAGAGATGGTGATGAAGAGGGGAGTCACCCACATTTTTGGCGTGATGACATTGTGGTTGTCTATGGAGGGGGAGGGGGGTGGCCCCGATGGGAGGGGCGGAGGAGGAGGTGGCCTCGATGGCATCGTGACTGGAGGTAAGAGACATGCTGTTGATGAGACGGAGCAGGTGGTCGGCAAGAGGTCGAGAGTACTATCACAGTATGTTATTTCCCCCTTTACGGTTGAGACCAAGAGGAGATCGTTCATCGATGGGACGCACCCAAACTTATTTAGGGAGGTGGACCACGCCAAGTGGAAAGCATTCGAGACGGAGTGGAGAAAAATTATCCCCGGGTAAGTATTGTATGATTTTAATAAAGCACTGTACGCTAACTCGTCTGTGCTTATTTTTTAAGATTTCCCTTTTTTTTCAGAGTTAGCGCACGATAGGTCAGAGGACGGTCTCAGACGCTTACAAGTGGTTCCACGATATCACCACTTCGGGAAGCGGGAGCTTGGCTCGCCGACGATGTAAGTAAAGTATTCATTTCATGTTTTTTATGTATACGTCACTTTGTGTTTATTAAATAAATAACTCATAGTTTTTCTGGTGTTTCCTGATGCAGCACATCGACCTGGCCATGGACTTGCTGTGAGATCGAGCTCAAAGACATCCAAAATCATTTGACGTCCATGGCCGAGTCATATTGAACACCGAGTTCCTGTGTGCCGTTACCATAGAGTATCAGTCGCTCCAACTTATGGGTAACGAGTACATGGTGCCAGAATATATGCTCGAGTGGGTCATAGGAATGTCGCCGAGTGTCGGGGAAAAATCATGAGAGGGTTGTACATATATGTACATTCCAGCGTGCATCAATAATCACTATGTTACGCTGGAGATCGTTTTGCTGACACGACTATAGACGACCCAGATCATTCATGTTTGAAACAAGGCCGGCTCGAGCAACACCTGAAGTCCGTAGCTGTAGGCGACTGCAGCATATTTGCCATTAAGTACGTTGAATTTTTAAGTATAAGACATAAGATTGATAGAATCAACCAATCGTGGATACTTCTCTGAAGAAAGAAGTTAGCTTGTGATTTGTTCGAATTTGATGGTGACCCGTAAATTTGTGTTAAATATATGAAACATTCGAATTGTAAATTTAATTATTTTTTGTGATTATGAAATAATTGTAAATTTGTGTTCAATATATATAACATTCAAATTGAAAATTTAATTATTTTTTTGTAAGTTGATTTTTACACATATGTCGAGTATGAAATTACTTTTTTATATGAATCATTATAAATAACATTTATCAAGAATGAATATTTATCAAGAATAAATATTGAACATTGAATATTTATCAAGAATTAATATTTAACAGTGTAAAGTAAACGAAAATATTATTTATTTGACGTACCTGTCTAATTGTCATTTAGGGGAATTTGACTGCTACAAAATTGCCGAGTATGCACTATGGCTCTGCACCTGCTACACCTATGCGGTCGAGGAAACTCTCTGGTAGATGGTATTCTAGATGTACTTTGACATCCAGGACCATGCAGTTCAACTGCTGGTGGCAACAAAGTATCAAACGGGAGAATGTGCTGGGGAACTTTCCACTTGGCTTCATTCGACAGAGGAAATATAGTCTCAGCATATGCTGTTCTCCAAGACTTAGTCATATAATACAAAGAGCATAACGTTCTCGCTGTAAAGTATTGATACATGGCCACCGCAAGTGCATGTTCACATGGAAAACTCTCTAACTAAAATCTCGTACAAGTGCATGTGTTATCAGTTAAGTTCACCATATATGCCATATTACGTGCACATTGCCCAGAGAAGCGGAACTCATCTAGTGCTTCTACATTCAACTTTCTTGCAACCTCTACCGCCTTAAAGAGTTTCTCCTTTTGAGCTGGGGCCAGCACACTAGTGCAACTTTTTGATGCCGCACGTCGGTCATGAAACCACTGTTGCAGCTTGTTACGAATGTTCTCAATCATTGCAAAATTGGTAACTTTCGATCCTTCTTAAACAATGCATTGAGCGACTCCACGTTATTCGACATCATCATGTTGTATCGACGTCCTGAAACGTATGACTGTGCCCAATGTCCATTCCCCATGTTCGTTAGATACTCCAACGCCGGTAATAATTTACTTCCTATCTCGAACATGAACTTATTACGCTCCTCAACACTGTAAGCTTCGACTGCTCTCCTGAACAATGAAACGATGCCTTTGCCCCAATATTTAGTTTTCAAATTACCTTGTATATGGTACATGCAATACCCGTGATGTGCCTCGGGAAAAATTTCAGCGATACTGTTTATTATAGACTGTTCCCGATCAATTACAAAGGTAAGGTCTTCGACTTCCCCGATCACTTCCCTCTGTTTAGAAAAGAACCAACGCATGGACAGATCATTCTCGTTGTCGACTATGTTGAATACAATAGGGTAAATTTGGATGTTGGTGTCTTGACATGTAGCAATAATTAATTTACCTTGATATTTAGCTTCCAAAGTTGTACTATCAACTAAAATTACGGGTCGCATTGCATTCCGAAAACCCCGAATACATTGTTCGAGAGTCATGAAGAAATACTTAAAACAATTATCCCCCCATCTCAATAAAAAATGTCGTGCCAGGATTAGTTGTTCCCATGTTATGGCAATACTTGGCCAATGTAGCATGGCTCTCCTCAGCCTATCCCATTGAATCCTCCAACGCACATTCTTTGGTCTTCCAAACTTTCTGGTAGTTCATGATCACTCCATACTCTCGATGGACGTTGTTAATTATGTCTGAAGGTCTGTAGCTTGTCCGTGGGTCCTGATACTTTTGCATTATCTGTCAACCAATAAACCATGCTCAAACTTGCTTGTGATCGTTTTGACGAATTCCCACTTTGCAAGTATGTTCCCGCGAATATTTGTGAATTACGAAGTACTCATTCGTGTCCATCTTAGTTGTTCTAAAGCACCAATGGCAACTGTTTTCGACGCATGCAATTGTCAACAATAACTTGTTTGGTTTTTTTTACCTTGAACTCAAAGTTATATTTTAATGTCAGCCGGTGCACAGCTTCCTGCAAATCTTTCTTGGTTTCAAACAGTTGCTCGATATATAAGTCCTCATCATCGGGAGCCACACGGGAAGAATTAGAGGACGGTCCACTTGCTCCAACCTCTGAGCTCCCACCCGACTCATGTCTCTGTTGGGATAAAGTAATCAAATTTTCATTTGTAAAATCATTTATAGTCTCGTTGTCTTCAACTGTCGATAGAATTCTGTGCGTAACAGCGACATTACGATCAGGAGCAACTGTCTCAGGAATAACCACATTATCCACAGGAACTATCTCCACTGTCTCCCAAAAACCCCAATCATTATTATCCTCCCTATTTGAATCTTCGCGTTCACCTTCGACAACATCCTTCTTAACTAAAGTCACACCAAGAACAGTCAAAATTCGATGCATTTTATTCAATTCTAATAGATAATTCAATTCAACATCATTAATAACGAATATCAGTGGAATCGGAATGGATGAATCCCTATAACTGTTGAATAGATATCTCAGTTGCATATCGTATTGAGATTGATCGACATCCAGCTTATTTTGCAAATTGTGGTACACTTCTGAGTATGATGTACTCTCTGTTATGAGAATTGCAATACAACCATATATGTCACTCGTCCATCTTCATTCCCATTGATTATTTTCATGCAATTCGAGATCACCGAAATAACAGACGGTGATTATCATATCTGCATGAGGAAATATAATTTTTTTTAATAACTTACAACAATAAAATTCATATGTTTATTTATAATCAATTTTATTTATTAATTATAAGAAAAAAAATCAGTGCCAACAAAAATTAATTAATTAATTAATTAACAAAAAATTCGTTAAAACAGCTTTAGCAATAGGTTTTTGTGGAAATAGAAACACAAAAATTGACTGTTTGATTATTTAGTAGCCGGCTGTGGGCTGTAATAGTCGACGCGACTGTAAAAAAATATTTTTTTGATAGGTAAGATCTGTTAAAAAAAATTATACTCACTATTATTATGTCGAAATAAAATATCTCTATTCAAATGTACACTAATTTACTGAAAACGAAATTAAACATGCGTAAATATACTTATCGATTTGAAGTAATTGATATGAAAAAAATCTTTGGTTTCAGCGTTTGAAAGTTTTTTGAAATTTTGAGGTTCAAGCAGATGAAAGATGAGAGTTTTTCTGTGTTGAAAGCTCGTTTTGAAGTTTTATAAGTGAGGAAGTGTTTGATTTTCAATTATTAACTAAAAGGGTAGTAAAGTCCTTTCAACTATACATTGTTTTGTAATTGTATAATACATTTAAGGATATCTTTGTCTTTTATTATACAAAAGACCAATGTGATAATATTCAAGATTTTCAAAATCAAAGTAGAATTTTGAACATTTGATTGGGTCAAATTTAAAAGTCCCCCATTTTTTCTTATATAACTCGAGGAAATTTGTATGCTTATTTTATTATTTTGATCCATTGAAGGGCTCTCAAGAAAAACCAGGTTTAGCAGTAAGGGCAATATCTGAAATTCTTTCAAAAGCAATGGAATTTGAGATGTCAGTTTCTGTATCTCTCTATGAGGTGATACAAGACCATGCTTATGATCTTTTGGATCCTAAACACCTCGAGGTTCAAATACTGGAAGCTGCTCATGGAAAAATACATCTTAAAGGACTTTCTCAGGCAAGCAACGACGGATAGAAGTAGAGTTTTCTACTATAGGGGACTTAGCATGTTTTGATATTATATCTATTTATGGTGCTTTATTAATGTTGTTCTCTTCTAGGTCTCTGTGAAATCTATTCAAGAATTCCACAATATATACTTTAGTCGTGGTAGTTTTCAAAAGTCTGCACAAAAGATACCAACAGAGCAAACGCGCAACCACAAGGGCTTGATGATTCGCGTAACACCCGAAGATGACAATCTGAAAACCATGTTAACAAGCAAGATGTATTTTGTTGATTTTTAGCAGGTTTTAACCCACGAAACTTTTAACAGGATTTAAGATTGTATAACTGTATTCATACTTCTGTAAACTTGTCTTTGTGATTCCTCTTTTCGTGTATCAGGCTATGAAGATTCTCGAAGAAATATTAAAGATGGAATCATATTTAATGAGAGTAATAGGACTAAGTCACTATATACCTTGTTGAATGTAGTCTATGCCGTTAATGCGGATGAGAAACATGAGCAAACTAACTCGAATATTACAAGAATCTCTTGCAGGAACGAGTCATGTAATGATGCTTACATGCTTGGTATGGGTTTTATACTTTAGGAGTTGTATTCATGTTAGTATTTGTTCCTAGATTGTGATCTTATTTTTAACTTCTACTTCTCTTTTTAATTCATTTCATCCCTACTGAATTCAGAACCCTTCCTTTTGCCAAGACTCTGTTTGCTCAATAAGTTTAGTTTCTCTGTCACGCCGAAACGCCAAGCAAGTGTTGATAGGCTCCACAAACAGAAGTCGAAATTCAGCAGCCAAAGTGAAGGCGCCTTCTTCAAGAAAAAGTGGGAAGACACCATATACTTCCTTGATCATGGAAAAACAAATTGCCTCGAGTGTGCTCATGTCGAGAAAGAAGGATAGCAGCATCTTGAGAGGAAGGTAAAACTACTTTCATCTCATATTGGAACCTAAGTTATGAAGTGTTCAATATTGCATTTTACTAAACTCTCTCTCTTTTATGCCACTGAAGGAAACTCTTTGATGGAGAAAAATCAAACAATTCTAAGCAGGTATTGTCTATTAATTTCTGCAATCCATTGAATATTCATTCAGGTTCTCATTTCTTTCTTTTTCCTTTGCTTTTGTCTTTCCAGCATGTAGATATTGTGGTAATGATTTTTAGACATTTAAAGCGCTAAGCACGGAAAACTGTTACTGTTGTAAACTTTTTTTTAGTTTAAAGTTTTTCTATTTTCTGATGTACTCTATTTCCTTTCCCCTTTTGTGGAGGAAAAATGAATGCATCATTTACCACGTGTATTGATGTTTTATGGTTCAATCCGAACCATACCTTGGCCACACGGGTGTTGTTTGGTTTGGTTAAAAATGAAAATAAAAGGTCAGTTACTAAGCACTAATTCCATTTAGCTGTAAGATCATCTAGACTTCAAATATGATGCAGTTGAGATGCCCACCTGAAGATACTTCAGCCAGGAAATCTATGCTTCTCCCTCTTGTTGCTTCAGATGTTACACCCTTTTCCTTGGAACAGATATTTCGATTCTCAGAAAATTTTTGTAATACATTTAGTTAAAACAGATAACAATGTAATTTGATTGATACTGTCATTATCCTTAAGAATATTTGTTCAATGCTGCAAACACAGGATAAATATATTTCAGATGTAAATTCAGCAGTGGAACCAAAAGAAAATGTAAGAATTATTGATTCTGAAATTTACTACAGATTTAAGGAATTTACACTCAATCAGAGTATTAATTGCGAGCACTGCATTGCCAATTTCCCCAAAGGATATGGCTATTATTCTTGCTGAAAATGTATCATTACTTAGTTTATTTGTGGACTATTTTGACTGTACTACTAAAACTTTTTCTTTAAATTGCCAATATGGTAAGGTTGGTCTTATTTTGAAATTTTACTACTACACGCTAATGAAGATCTAATTTGCATAATCTGTATGCTTTTGTTTTTTCAGGATTTTTCACACACAGCAGGAGTGATAATGTAGTTGTTTCTCCTGGTATTACTGCTGATGCAAAACCTTTTTAGTATATCATTTCCCTTACATATTGTTCAATGCTTCAGGTCGCTTGGGAGAGGAAAATGTGCCTTTGAAGAAGAATGAAGATGGAGTCCCGTCACTTACTCAAAGACTAAGAGAAATATCAAACAATCTAAGGTCATTATGTTCATCAATTCCATCCAGGGTTAAGTTTTTAGACAATGCAGTTACACCATATAGTAGTCAGATAGACCCAAAAACCCCCGTCATGGAACTTCCTGTCAAGAGATACCGTAGTCCTAGGGGTACTTTCAGCAGTCGCAGCTCGGGAGTGAAGGTTTGTTGTACCATATACCTTATTTCCATGCAACTCATTATTAGTTTAATGCTAATTAAGTATTCTTTGTTCATGGCAGCATTCCCTTGTTCAAAAGTACCTTAATTTTTTGAATTCTGCTAACAAGTAAGTAAATCTACCAAACCTTTTCCCTGGTTCTTATCTACGCCTTTTGAATTCTGCATTCATAAACTAGTAATATTTTAAAAGACTAGACCTTAATATTTGAACTCATATGGTGGCAAATATAATATAATCCAATTAGACCCAAATGTTCGGTTATGAAACCCACTGCAAACCTTAGTGGTTCTTATTTGCTGATGATTCTCAACAACAGGGCCAACCAGTCAGGATATGAACTGACTCATGCACCTTCCAGTTATCAAGTTGCAGATATCGAAGTTGGAAAAAAATAGTTAACCAGAAGGTGTTATAAGTAAAATTCTGTATTTTGATCAATTTCAGCTGTTAGCCTTTGTTCGATTTTGAATTTTTTTCAAAATCACTTTTCCTCAATTCATTTTCAACCCACTCAATTCAAAATCACTTTTCCTTAATTCATTTTCAACCCACTCATTCTCTCAAACAAACTCACTTTTCAGAAAATCGCTTCTAAAGAAAATCAAAATCAAATTTGATACTAGAATTTTGGAACACAATCATCATTAGTTAGACAACATTGCACATGGAAAACGGGTTCGAAGATAATTAGTTATGACATATGATATTAGAGCATACATGCTTCTAATGATTGCTATGCCGACAACTAATGTTCTTGCAACTAATGTTAGAATAGTAAATCTTTATTTTAGTTTAGGGATGTAGGTTAATTTGCTACTGTTATTTCTTGACTACAATGTTTTACCATGCATCTACTCTGTTACCTTATTGTCATGAATTACCACACGTTTTGTGTCACTCATAAACATATTTTTTTGGGTTTTTGTTTTCTTCTAATTTACAGGGAAGAGCTGAAAGGCCTGAAGGTATGTTCATATCTTTGATGTTTTTAATTCGGCATTTCCTTAGATTAGATGAAGTAGTATCACATGATGTACTAATTATACAGGGCATTGGAGAGAAAAGAGCTACATATATTCTTGAACTCCGTGAAGAAACTCCCAAACCATTCAAGCAAGTAAGATTTCTTTGTCAAAGTACGACTACCGTTGATTGATTAATCCTATAACCATTTTCATATTTCTAAGTGCTACGAGAATGTGCATTTTTTTCTCGAAAAGATTAAATCCTTATAAGAAATAAAGTTTTTGCTCAGAATATGAGCAAGACCAGAACATAAGGGGTTTGAGTCAGCTTATCTCATCTTTCTTGACAAATAAATCAGCAGTCATTGTTCTCCCACTAGTTTCATATAACTTGTTGAGATGGATATTCTTTTTTGTGCAATTCCAAATGCGAAGTCTCCTTAGTCATTTTGTTCTTGTTTGTATTTAACATGAAGAATGTTTTACTTCACAGCTGGATGATTTACAAGACATTGGCCTTTCAGCAAAACAGGTATTTATTTGTTGAACTGGTTTAACATTGCTCTTTAAATTATTTAATTTTTTTTTATGTATATTTTAACTTTCTAATATTTCTTTACACAGATTAAAGGAATGCTGAAACAGGTCGCTGGAGAGCTTTTCAATTAGAGAAAATTGAATAATTTTGTTTGGCAACAGGAAGTTGCCACTGCTGGTTGTTTTATGTTTGAAAAGGAATTTATTTCCTTCAACTATATGTGTACTTTATTCTTGACTCATCTACCAGACGATTGTTATTGTAACTTCATGGAGCAAACTTTTTTAGTAAAATTGTTATTTTTATTCTTAGATCAAGTCAAAATTGTTTTAATTCCTCATTTTTGAATATATCGAGAATGGCAGCCTCGAAGGCTAACTCGTCTGCAGGGCCAAATCTGGCCCTCTTTCATGGCAATATCGGATAAGAAGTGCTACATAGATATGCTCTGCCCTTATCTTCTTGCATGCCAACAGCAGTTGTATCAGACACAGATATTTAAAGCCGTCCAATGTCCTTCTCGACTCTTACTTTGTTAGCATTATGGAGCTGCGAGAGTAAGACTTTGGATCTACTGAGCCTCGTCTCAGAAGTCTGGTCTGTGTCATGCTTAACGTCTACTTCATTATCCTTGAACTCCAAGGATCAGTGTAAAATCCCTTCTCATTCTGTCTATCTGATTTTTCAGGTAGTAATCTCCAATGTATGATTGCTTAATTTAAAGGAAAATTGGTGTAAATGGT